TATTCTTATTTACAAGTTTAATGTTATGAAATTGTTTTTTATTTTTAATTTTGAGTTATATAATAAAAAATAATTTTTTATTTTTTAATTTACTTCATTTATATATTATATAATTTAAATTTAAAATTTATTATTTTTACTAAAAAAACTTACAATTAAAATATTAATAATATGAAACTGGAACATTACAATTAACATTTTTTATTTTAAACTAAGCCGGTCTTGTCCCCGCCGGTACAAAATCTGCCGGAAAATTGGCAAGCAAAACGGCGATGAGTACTCTAACTCCAGAGACGGATCGCTTCGTTTCTCTTCTTTCAGAGCGCCTCGGGCGGGTCTGAGGAGAACAAATCGCCGTTGTCTTGGAAAAAGTCGTCCACATTAAACGTCGACGATGATGTCGGTGAAGAACCGAGGTCTTGCGGCGTGTCGAGAAACTCGTCGCCGAAATCATTACTGTTCAGAAAGCTGTTGTCCGGCGAAATCTCTGACGACGGGTGCAACGGGGATAATTCCGGAACTGGGATGTCTAAGAACGCGTCGGGGAACGGCTTATCCAAATAATCCGATAGCAAACAATCGCCGAAGTCATCGAATAGACTCATTTCTCCCTCGCATTCCGGGAACACCTCGTGTTCCGGAACCGAAGTCGGAGAAGAAAGATTGCGAGATTCGTCGCCGGAGTCGTACCCGGAAACCGAAGCCATATCAATCCGAGGCTTCTCATTCTCAGTTCCTCTCGCCGGCGGAGTGACGAAGTTTGTCCACGCGTCCGGTCCACGGAGTTTGATCGCGGCATTGTCATACACAATAGCAGCCTCCTCCGCTGTGTCGTAGGTTCCCAGCCACAGCCGCTTACGGAGGCCGGGATCTCGAATCTCCGCCGCCCATTTTCCCCAGGGCCGTTGCCGTACTCCTCTAAACTTCTTGCCATTCGTCTTCAAAGAAACCTTGACCTGCCGTGGACCAACAGGAACTTCCGCCGCTGGCGCCGCCGCCGCAGCCGCCGCCGTCGTTCTCTTCCGTTTGTTACAAAGAACGCTCCCGCTCCCGCTCCCGTTCTTGCAACCATCCTCGATATTGATTATGCTCACATACCGCTTCCCCCGCTGCCGAGGGAAAAACTCTCCCTCCTCATCACTGGATGAATCCGTCGCATCTGGGTCCGCCACCGATATCCGTACCACCCTGGAAGCAGCCGCAGAGTGATCAGATACTCTCCTGTTCTTCAACCCTTTGGTGAACTTCTTGGTGACATTTCTGTGCTCCGTATATTTGATCGGACAAGAGATTCTCTGCTTCATTCTGAGTATATTTGATATATTTGTCCCCACTCAATATCTATATTTTTCGCATCGAATTCGATCAAAGTCGAAAAATAAAATGAGACCCCTCCCCAAGAAACAAAGGCTAAGGGAGAACTGAGAAAACGGGGGTTATAAAGAGGAGTCTGAAATTTTCGGACTGCAAATAAGATTCTTTCTGCACAGCGTGCTAAGATTTCTGGGTGGATGATGAGATAAGATTGATATGGAAAGGAAAGAAGAGTTTTGAGCAGTAGGGAAGGTATGAGAAACCATGTGTAAGTGGAAGTGTTATCGATTTTTCAGTGAAACCCAAAACGCTGAATCAGGTATTTTATAGAATCGGAAACAACCAAAATAGGTAAAAATCAGAATGTAAAACCAATTAGTGATTTTTAATTAATTTTAATTAAAGAAAAAATGAAAACAAAAAAAAAAGGATCTAAATTGGGACGCAGAAGTGGGAGTTCAGGTGGGTCCTACGAGGGCGGTCGAGTCTAACCGAAGATTCCGGTGAGATACACTGCGTTCCGCCGCATCACGATGATCCACTGTGATGCGTACACGTGGTGATGTGTGTCCTACTATACGCTTGGGGCTTGATAAGAGATGATCATATGGTGCTGAGTCAGATCGCAACACCCTCTCAGTGTGCGTGACCCCAGGCACGTGACACCCAAGATACCTGGCCTAATAAAACAAAAGATTTTTTATTATTTTTTTATTTTTTGAACAAAAAACAGAAGATTTTTAGTCGGTCAAATTGTTTTTGATTAATACTACCACCATGGCGTTGTGGTTAACTGGTTACGAGCGGCCACATTGCTACATCTCAGTAGTTGGTGGCAAATTTGTTTTTTTTTTTTAACAAGTTGACAAAGGATTGGATCGAATCCAGTTCAAAAAAAAGAAAGGAGTGCATTGTTAGGTGGTTATTGTCACTGCCTGGAAAGGCTCAGTGCAATTGATGGCAAATTGTTTAAACTTAATTATTAATAAGAATTTGATTGAGATGATATTTATTAATTTAAAAAACTTAATTTAAGATTAAAATCAGAAAATTAAATTTTTACTATACTAAATAGTTAATTTTTTGATATATTAAAAAAATTAATTAATTATTATATATTTAATTTTAATTTAATTTTAATTAAACAAATTATTATACTCTTAATTTTAATATACACTGCTTTTTTATTATTATATATTTAATTTTAATTTAATTTTAATTAAACAAATTATTATACTCTTAATTTTAATATACACTGCTTTTTTTTTTTCTCATGACTTTGCGTCTTTTCATTCATGGGCTATAAGGGTTAATTAAAATAAAAATATGTGATAATAGTAATTGAAGGTGTCTTAAATACTTATTATTATCGTCACATAATTATTAATATTTTTTATAAGTAATTAATTATGGTATTTAAAATATAAGAAAAGGGAAATTATAATATTTTGATATTTTTTATGTTAATATGTACAATAATAATTTTATGATGAATTTAATAACAGTAAAACTCACATTATATTTGATATATTTAATAATTATAATTGAATATTCTAACATTTTTTATGTTAAAACATCTTAATTTTTTTTCTTTTAAAATATTAATATGTAAATTAAAATTTAATAAATTAAGTAATAAATATTAATTATTTTATTATTTACTATCAATTAAATAATATAATTTTTTTAAATTATTTTTAACAACTAGATTAAACAACATAAATATTTTAAAAGGTAAGATTTTAAGATTCGTATGCCCTATTTGGCCATAACATTGCCCCGCTATGATTACCCTTGTGAGTCTAACAGCTTCTCTAATGCAATTTTCTTTTTTAAAGTATAAAGTAGGAACATCTTTGCATTTAGTGTGTCTATTCATTGAAAAATTATTGATAAGTTAAAAATGAAATGCTAAAATAGAGAGTTTTAACATAAATAAGGGTAGAATATTTTAAAATTTTTTAATAAAAGATATAATTTTTTTATTAATTTAAGTTATCACTTTTTAAAATTTTTTTAATTAAGATATGATTTTTAAAATTTTATTAGTTGAAGCTACCACTTTTTATTAATGGTCAAGGATATAATTTTACACATTCGTTAGATCATTATTTAGTAAAATTAAAAATGTTACATTTTTTATTAAAATTTTTTAAAAAATAATAACCTTGATTAATAAAAAATCATATTCATAATTATTATTTTTTAATTAGGTGCTTCTTTATACAAAATCTCCTAAAATGGAGGTGGAATTTTGTACGCATGATCAATGACATCAGAAAATTTTAAGTTTTATGACTTTATCTTGACCTTCCGTTTTTGGCCGCAAAATCGTTGTCCCTGTTAATTTCATTTTGTCCCTCACATCACATTCCTAATTATCTCTTAATCTAATGTAATTGAAAGAGTATTGTAGTTTTTGTTAATTATAATTGATGTGATTGACTAAACAAATGATTATCATTAATGCACCTTTATACAATAAAAATGAATACTTTTTATTTTATTATTACTTTTATTTAATTATCACAATGACATATTAATGTCAAGCATTCTTTTTGATTGTCACAGCGGTTTGATCTATTAATAAAGGGTTAATTTGCAACAATTTACATGATTTAACATCTTATT